GACGAGATGCCGGTGTCCGGGTGGACCTGCTTCAGCACCTTGTACACGTACACGGAGTAGCTCTCCTTGCGGCTGCGCTTGCGCTTCTTGCCGTCCTTCTTCTGCGCTTTGGTCACCGCCTTCTTGGAGCCCTTCTTCGGAGCAGGAGCGGACTTCGCTGGCTCAGGCATGGTGAAGTACTGCAGTCACAGAACCACTAAAGAAGTGAAAGCCGAAACGCACCTTTTTAAGGACAAGGGTTTATGCAAATGAGGCTCAGTACAGGTTTCTGGTGGTTGGTACGTCTTCTGTGTGACATCACAGCTCAGCTTCGCCCAATCAAGGTAAGCATCCTGCATAGTCGCATTTTCATTGGTCCAAACAAAAGTAAACCGGTAGCCAATCGTACAGCTTTCTTTTCGCGCCCAGCGGGGGTTATAAAGTTTCCGTTTCTGTATTCGTTGAGGTCGCTTACGACGGGAACCGTTGATCCTGAGTCATGTCTGGACGTGGCAAACAAGGCGGCAAAGCTCGCGCCAAGGCCAAGACTCGCTCTTCGCGGGCCGGGCTCCAGTTCCCCGTGGGCCGAGTGCACCGTCTTCTCCGCAAGGGTAACTACGCCGAGCGGGTCGGGGCCGGGGCCCCGGTGTACCTGGCGGCGGTGCTGGAGTACCTGACGGCCGAGATCCTGGAGCTGGCGGGCAACGCGGCCCGGGACAACAAGAAGACGCGCATCATCCCGCGCCACCTGCAGCTGGCCATCCGCAACGACGAGGAGCTCAACAAGCTGCTGGGCAAAGTCACCATCGCTCAGGGCGGTGTCCTGCCCAACATCCAGGCGGTGCTGCTGCCCAAGAAGACCGAGAGCCACCACAAGGCCAAATAAAGAACCAAGATTGGAAACGACCAAATAAACGGCTCTTTTCAGAGCCACTTCTATCATCATAGAAAAGAGTAACACAATTTACTGCTCTTGAAACTGTTTGTTTACTACGGCTCTGAGACTTGCAACTTGCTGCTGTAGCTGTGTAAGGTATGTTCTCCTGGTCTGTGTTTCAGAATTGGAATTTAAGGGCTGTTGTGAGCCAGAGGATATTTGTATTAGGCTAATTAGGAAGTTAAGTATGTGGTATGAAAGAAGATTCTCGTAGTCAGGCCTGGCAAGGTCCTCTTAGTTCTAGAATGAGACTTGTTTGGAACACTTATGCTGTTTACCATTTTGGCTTTTTCAAGGATTGCAGACACCAAGACACTTGCTCTTTCATTAAATGTTAACGCACTTGTTTTCAACAAATACCACACAGGTACCATACGTTGATAAAACGTTAGTGAGACACTGCCTGTTCTAATGAATGAAAATCTAATGAAGAGAAACAAAAGGAAATAAGGTACAATGTAGCAAGAAGAGTAAGCACAATACAACAGGAGCATAGAGAAGAAAACTTGGTCTGGGGATTAAAGGAAATAGAGGAAAGCATAGGGATTTCAGCAGAAAACTAGTGTCGCCAGACTCGTGGCTTGTATGTGCAGGCAAATGACAAAAAGTTCGCTATTGGAAAATAAAGCAGAAAGATCACAAGAGAGAAGAGCCAGAGGGATGGATCTCTAGGTCGTTCCTTTCGTTCTAAAGCCTCTATATATCTTCTATGTTATTCACTCAGTCCTGTCTGACTGCCACCCCATGAACTGTAGGCCGACTTATAAATCTGTTCACCCTAGACTTAATTCATCTACTTTCTGATATTTTTTCTTTTTTACTTTGTTAGTGGAGAAGGCAATAGCAACCCACTCCAGGACTCTTCTGGAAAATCCCATGGAAGGGGGAGCCTGGTAGGCCGCAGTCCATGGGGTCGCGAAGAATCAGACACGACTGAGCGACTTCACTTTCACGAAAGTTTCACTTTCGTGCATTGGAGAAGGAAATGGTAACCCACTCCAGTGTTCTTGCCCGGAGAATCCCAGGGTCGGGGGAGCCTGGTGGGCTGCCGTCTATGGGGTCGCACAGAGTCGGACACGACTGAAGCGATTCAGCCGCAACAGCATACTCAGATCTCTGGGAAATTAAAAATGCATGTCCCAGACTTATCATCCTTACCTCCCCCAGTGATTCTTAAAGGCATCATCTATCCATTAGCATGAACGAAAATGGTCTGGTGTCTGAGTATCTGTATTTGTTAGCCATTACGGGCTATATAGTCCATGGGGTCGCAGAGTCTCAACGACTGAATACGCACGCACACACACAGTATGGGATGATGAAATTCAGGAAAAGCTTAGGTGGAAGGAAAACAAGTTTCAAGACCTGGAATAGGGCTACTAACTTCCCCTGAAAAGTAATTCTTCAGTTCTCATTATGTAAAGATTCTTAAGTATAATACCTGCATATATTGAAGTGAGGGTGCCCTACCCAGCCAGCAGAAGGGGCATCTATCCTGGGTCCCCCTTAACTTGGTATCTGTTTCCGAAACCAGAAGGCCTGGCTTTCACAACTAAAAATGACTCTAAAAATTGGCCTTACCAGTGCCCGGGGCTGAGGGAAGGAGGAGGCGGAACTACTTCCAACCAAACGTCTCCCTTTCTTTCTACAGCCTGATTCTTGGGAAGGGAGACTCTCAATGTTTCTCTCAAGGTGCAAAATGTTGGCATCACCCCAAGTCCTACATGGTAATCATAAGTCCTGTTTCACGTCACTGTGAGTGACACTACCAGCATAACATCAGCGAGCAAAACTAGAAGCTTAAAGAGAAAACAGTTTCTGCAAGGAAAACCAGGAGTAGATAGCAAGGTAACAGTCCTTTTTCATTGTGTATCTAGGCGGCTCTGAAAAGAGCCTTTGGGTCTACGCGGCCACAGCACCCTGAACGCGCCCGATCTCGTCTGGAGAGCCTTTGGGGTTGAGGAGCAACGCCTAGGCTCACGCCCTCTCCCCGCGGATGCGGCGGGCGAGCTGGATGTCCTTGGGCATGATAGTGACGCGCTTAGCGTGGATGGCGCACAGGTTGGTGTCCTCGAAAAGCCCCACCAGATAGGCCTCGCACGCCTCCTGCAGCGCCATGACGGCCGAGCTCTGAAAGCGCAGGTCGGTCTTGAAGTCCTGCGCGATCTCGCGCACTAGCCGCTGGAACGGCAGCTTCCGGATCAACAGCTCCGTGGACTTCTGATAACGGCGGATCTCGCGCAAAGCTACCGTGCCGGGCCGGTAGCGGTGCGGCTTCTTCACGCCGCCAGTGGCCGGCGCGCTCTTGCGGGCCGCCTTGGTGGCGAGCTGTTTGCGCGGCGCCTTGCCGCCAGTGGACTTGCGGGCTGTCTGCTTAGTGCGAGCCATAATATCAGCAGGCTTAAAGACCGCCACCTAGCCACTTATTTATAGAGCGAGGCAGAAGCTGATTGGACAAAAGGCAACCAGGACTTTCCAATCGATAGTCGGACTGACTTAGTTCAGCTACTTCACTCGGTCGTGTCCGACTCTTCGCGATCCCATGGACTGCAGCACGCCATGTTTCCCTATCCATCACCAACTCCCGGAACTTGGTCAAACTCATGTCTATCGGGTCGGTAATGCAGACTCGAACTTTTCGATTGTTGCCCAAAGCCCCTGACGTCAATTTTTTTTTCAATTTTTCCTGTAAAATTGCTCTATATTAGCACTTTCCAGAATTTCAAGCAATTCCTTTGCAACAATTGATTTTTCTATTTTAGGAATGTAATTCCTTTGTTTTTAAAGACTCTAAATCACCACCAATGTATATTTACCACACATCCCATGAGTTTGCATCTATAATGATTCCTTGCATGCATGTGCGATGCTCAGTCACTAACTTGTGTCTGACTCTTCGCGACCCCATGCACTATAGTCTGCCAAGCACCTCTGTCATTTCCTTCTCCAGGGGATCTTCCCCAGCCAGGGATCGAACCCTCCGTCTCCGGCATTAGCAGGCAGATTCTTTCCCACTGAGCTACCTGGGAGAAACAGGATAAGCTCTTTGCTGAGCTACCTGGGAGAAAGAGGATAAGCTCTGCCTGACATCTGATTTTTCTGATCTTTGCCTGACATCTGATTTTTCTGATCATCTCCCTCCCCTCAGAGCCTAGAAGTTACCTGGCAAGCTTTTTTCTTCTTGAAAGTAAGTGGAAAATGATCTAATTCCGTCAAGATCTTTAACACAATAAAAAGACCAAGAAGATAACACTTTAACAGTAGAATTTAGCATTTTTATCCTGAAACGTATGACCATTACCTCATATCGACACAATTTGTGTGGATGGGTCCGAGGGAGCTAGAAAAATACTTGAGAACACAATAATAAACCAATGGGTATAATTACCAGGTACCTCAGGCTAACTTTTCCGATAAAAGAGCTGAAGATTAAAAATTTCCTTATTCAACGATGCAAAACAAGGTACACTGATTTGAAATTAGCGATGCTGAAAGCTCCGCTTCTCTGTACATTAGTACAGAACTGAATCTCGGAGACAGTTTTGGGTGAAATAGACAAATTCTATTCCTTTGCCAGGCAAGAGGAGACACAGAGGGCTCTTGTCTCAAAGTGACGTGAAGTCGCTCAGTAGTGTCCGACTCTTTGCGACCCCACGGACTATAGCCTACCTGGCTGCTCCGTCCATGGGATTTTCCAAGCAATACTGGAGTGGGTTGCCATTTCCTTCTCCAGATCTTCCGGATCCAGGGGTTGAACCCGGGTCTCCCGCATTGTAGGCAGACTCTTTACGGTCTGAGCCACCAGGTAAACGTCTCAAAAAACCGTCCCAACCTGGGAAGATTTTATGAGTTTTATACTTCTCAAGGGCGTGGTGTCTGACAAGTTTAGGGTGTATGCAGGATATCAGGTGGTCAGGTCTCCTAATCTTGTTGAGCTTCTCTGATCTCTTCAATCTTGCCTCAGGTGGTTTCTAGTCTGCTCCTCCTAGCAACTGTTCAAATCTACTTGGAACTCAAGGAAGGTCAAGGCTCGAGTCTTACATACAAAAAACGAGAAAGGGCCCCCATGTTTGGGAGTCCAAGGCCCGTTTTAGGTCTTTTTCAGAAAACTAACGCCTCCAATAATGTCCTTTGGCTTAAGATGCAGGTTTGATTTGATCCCTTGACGCATATGCCTTTAATTACTAAACACCATAAAACCAAAAAACCTTAATGAGTAAATCAACCCTCGTATCTGCCAATGCTGATAAGGAAGTTTAGGTTTCAAGGTTGACATAATATACATGTTTACTTTAAACTATCATCTAGGATGTAACCTTTAAAACTTAGTGCTCAGTTCTTCCCAGAAAACTTTGGTGGCTCTGAAAAGAGCCTTTGGTTTGATTGAGACCTTTAAATTGCTGCCAAGTAACCCAGATTTCTATTTGCCCTTGGCCTTGTGGTGGCTCTCGGTCTTCTTGGGCAGCAGCACCGCCTGGATGTTGGGCAGGACACCGCCCTGAGCAATGGTGACTTTGCCCAGCAGCTTGTTGAGCTCCTCGTCGTTGCGGATGGCCAGCTGCAGGTGGCGCGGGATGATGCGCGTCTTCTTGTTGTCCCGGGCCGCGTTGCCCGCCAGCTCCAGGATCTCGGCCGTCAGGTACTCCAGCACCGCCGCCAGGTACACCGGGGCCCCCGCACCGACCCGCTCGGCGTAGTTACCCTTGCGGAGAAGACGGTGCACTCGGCCCACGGGGAACTGGAGCCCGGCCCGCGAAGAGCGAGTCTTGGCCTTGGCGCGAGCTTTGCCGCCTTGTTTGCCACGTCCAGACATGACTCAGGATCAACGGTTCCCGTCGTAAGCGACCTCAACGAATACAGAAACGGAAACTTTATAACCCCCGCTGGGCGCGAAAAGAAAGCTGTACGATTGGCTACCGGTTTACTTTTGTTTGGACCAATGAAAATGCGACTATGCAGGATGCTTACCTTGATTGGGCGAAGCTGAGCTGTGATGTCACACAGAAGACGTACCAACCACCAGAAACCTGTACTGAGCCTCATTTGCATAAACCCTTGTCCTTAAAAAGGTGCGTTTCGGCTTTCACTTCTTTAGTGGTTCTGTGACTGCAGTACTTCACCATGCCTGAGCCAGCGAAGTCCGCTCCTGCTCCGAAGAAGGGCTCCAAGAAGGCGGTGACCAAAGCGCAGAAGAAGGACGGCAAGAAGCGCAAGCGCAGCCGCAAGGAGAGCTACTCCGTGTATGTGTACAAGGTGCTGAAACAGGTCCACCCGGACACCGGCATCTCGTCTAAGGCCATGGGCATCATGAACTCCTTCGTCAACGACATCTTCGAGCGCATCGCGGGCGAGGCGTCGCGCTTGGCTCATTACAACAAGCGCTCGACCATCACATCCAGGGAGATCCAGACGGCCGTGCGCCTGCTGCTGCCCGGGGAGCTGGCCAAACACGCGGTGTCCGAGGGCACCAAGGCCGTCACCAAGTATACCAGCTCCAAGTGAGCCACTGCCTGCAGTGTAACTAGATTTCTTCACCCAAAGGCTCTTTTCAGAGCCACTTACTTTTTCCATAAAAGGGGCCTGTTAACTGCTGTTTCTCAATTTGCAAGTTTAACCTAGGTAAGTTTCCTGGTAGACAGGTTGTTTTGTTCTTACAATATAGTAATATTTTCTCTAACGAAAGGCTTAAGTTTCATTTTTGAGCTTTCTTTGCAAAAGTGCTTTAAGATAATTCATTGCAGTGTGAGTAGCCGGGCAATCCAATCATTTCTGGGTTTTTCTGAGATGGTACAGTTAAGGTCTTCAAATTATGCTATTCAGCATCTCTGTCTTGTTCATTGCTTCAAACTCTGCTCGCCGCACTCTAGGCCAGTGAACCTCAAAATGTTAGGCGTCTGATGCTATTCCAAAAGCCGTCAAACCGAGATGATCGTAGACTAATGTTTTAGTAACCATCCTGTCGGTATCTGGATGTCAAGTTCTTTAGAAATAAAAGGCACAAGAGAGACAATAAGGAAGTTAAAAGGGCCATATCCGGGAATGGCCAGCATCAGGGAAGGCATGTATACATACCTTACTTATAGCCATTCACAGGTGAGCGGTTGAGATTATCTCTGTGACCTGAAAATACGCAATTTCGACAGGCCGAGGGCCAGGGTCCTCTGAGGCAGCTCATTATGTATGATTATAGTAAGGAGAAGCAAGTCAAAGACAAAGTTCTAACATAGAATTGGTTCTTTGAAGCATAATCAATAAACTACAGAGGGTAACAGGAAGGCTAGTTAACATTTTTCCTTTGACTAATGGCTTCTCAGGAAGGGTCAGATTCAAACACTTGTAGTTTCGTACGTTCTATTAATGTGTCTGGGAGCCTGCAAGCACTGAATGGAGGCTATTTGCATACACGGGAACTCCAAATATTCATTGCATATCCCTTCTCTGATCTAACAGATAACACAAAATTATCTGAATTGCTTTCTAACTCCTTAAAAAAGATACTCCTGAGACGAATTTTTACAAGTGGGAATGGCAATATAAATTGCAATGCAATCAGCCACCGAAGCTAGGGGGGTGCTTCCCTGACCCTTGAGAGAACAGCGTCCACAGCGGTGACCGTCTTGCCTTTAGCATGTTGGGTATAGGTTTTGGGGTCACGTTCACTTTTTCTAGTAAGACTTTCAGCACCCCGCGGGTCTCTCTCTCTAGCCGAGATCTAAAGAAGCATCGACCACCCCTGCGGGACAGGCGCCGGTTGGCGGGCATAGTGATGCCCTGAATGTTGGCACACAGGAATTTACTGTAGCTTACCGTAGTTTATAGTCCCTCCCCGCCTTGCCACGGCCTTGACATGTTGAGAATACAGATAAATCGAAGTTCTAAAGACAGAAATGTGGGGGTGGGGTGGGGTGGGGGAGATGTATTTTCAAGGCGGGGGCGGGAGCGGAAAGCCAGGCGTTTAGCTGAATTCTTCGGACCAAATTGAAAACTAGATCGGCGGGACAGATTCGCAGTTCTCCTTTCTCCCGCTTCCTTGTTTCAAACAAAGGCGGAGGAGGAGATACCAGCCAAGGCTGCTCCCGAAGTAGCAGAGTTCTCTTGGATAAATTGAGGCTGAAGGTATGGTACTCGTCGAAGGAAGAAAGGATCCTGTGGATTCAGAAATGTATGGGGCACGAAAAGGAGATTGACCAGTGAACGTGGATCTCCAGTTGCTACTTGCCTAACTACAGATGTAGACACAAGATGTAGTGAAGCTTGCAGCCTGAATTGGATTAGGAACAGAAGGACTAACTTCTGGCCCCAGTTCCACCACGTGCTATGTGGCTGGCCATGGAGAAATTTAACCACTCTTGAGTATTCCACTCTGTGGAAGGCACTGTTCGCAAACACACCATGTGCAATGTGGCATATTACAGTGTGCTAACAATGTACGCTAGATTGTGAGGACAGTTCTACAATGTAGGTAGTGTCATCATCTCCATCATCTCAAGGCAAAACACAAGTAATTTACCAAAGGTCACACAAAATTTTAGGGTCAATGGGATTTAGGCAGCCAAGTCCATGCTCTTAGCAGTAGGATCCACTGCCTGTCTTAGGTCATAATCGCCACCTCTGAAAACAAAGTGACAGTAAAGCTCTGAAACTGAACTTTGTTTTTATCAGTCACTCCTACAGCATGACTATTTATGTATTCATAGTTACTGGGCATTAGCCATGTTTTTAGTGCTGTGCTATATTCTTAGCCCAACTAGGCCACTTCTTGACTTGTGTCTTGCCACAGGCTATGTAAGGTATGGATCACCAGACCTTTCCTCTGTAAATTGGAAGTAACTCGAAAATTGTGATGATAAATTCAGAGGGAGTTTAGTAGCTCTTGGTCACTCAATGTTCTTTTGTCCTTTTCTCTCCTCTACCTTTGCATATGTATCAGAATCACATGAGATAATAAATATGAAAGACTTTAATAATAAAGCATATTTTTTTCTCGTGGAAAGCCGGCAAATCAGTGGGACTAGCCAATTTTCTATTATTAACCCCACCCCCCCCACCCCTCCCCACGACACACACACATACCCTGTTGCTTTACAGTATTAACAAACTTTCAATAATGCTTTTTTCTTTTACCATGCTTCCCAGGTTCTAAAAGAAATCTCTGTAATAGTTAAACTGCTCAAAGTGATCAGTAAAAGCTAACTATTTCTATTCTGTCTTCTAATAATCTTTAATGAATAACAGCAAACAAGATTTTAAACATTTAAACGGGATTTAATGCCAAAGGGATTTTAAATGTTCTTGCTGCCACCAAAACCCAACTGTATTCCCTAAACCACCCTTTCATCCAGTTAACTAATAAATATTATTCAGCATCTACTACTATTCACTACAGGATAGTCATTGTATGCTGGGATAGGAATGGAAAATTCTGAATAAAGCTGTTCTTGAACTTAATTCTTAGTCACTGCTGGTGGCCTTGAAAACTGGGAGAACTTTCATACAGGAAAAGTGGGCAGTATCCAGCATATTTAAAAACACACATATCTCTACTCCCAGCAATCTCATCTCTAGGAATTTACCGTTTTTGAAAATGTGAAAAATGACATGTTACAGAGTTTTCCAAGCAGCCCAGTTTGTAGTACCAAAGACTAGAAGTAATCTGAATGGTGAACAATAGAGTAAAACATTACAGTATATCATTCTACCCGCAGGTAAAAACAAATCTGAAGGCNGTTTTCCAAGCAGCCCAGTTTGTAGTACCAAAGACTAGAAGTAATCTGAATGGTGAACAATAGAGTAAAACATTACAGTATATCATTCTACCCGCAGGTAAAAACAAATCTGAAGGCTCTTTTGCATAATATTAGTAGCAATATTTATTGCTTAGTGTGTATTGCTTAGTGTGTGCCAGATAATATCCTAAAACTTGCCTTGTGTGCTTTGCCACGACCGACTCTGTGACCCTTTGAACTGTGGCCCACTAGATTCCTCTGTCCATGGGACTTTTCAGGCAAAAATACTGGAATAGGTTGCCATTTCCTCCTTCAAGGGATCTTCCCCACCCAGGGATCAAACCCACAGTCTCCTGTGTCTCCTGCATTGCAGGCAGATTCTTTACCTGCTGAGCCGTAGAGGAAATACCAAAATGTCCTTGTATACATTAAATCACTTATTCTTTATAACAATGTTTTGAGTTAAATTAGTTTATACTTGTTTTACAGATTATAAAATACAGGTCCAGAGAGGATGAGAGACTTAGCTGTAAATGTACAGCTAGTAACAGTCGTGCCCCACTCTTAGCGACCCTGTAGACTGTGATCCACCAGGCTCCCTGTCCATGAAAATTTCCAGGCAAGAATACTGGAGTGAGTTGCTGTTTCCTTCTCTAGGAGATCGTCCACACTCAGGGAGTGGAGCGTCGCGTCTCTGAGAAGTCTTGAAAAAGGGAACTGCCCCCTCTGAGGTTCGAACTCAGGACCTTCAGATTATGAGACTGACGCGCTGCCTACTGCGCTAAGGAGGCAGATGTGTGCACTTGGGGCTATTCAAAAGTAGTCTAGCTTCAGAATCCATATTTGTAACCACTATGTGGTTTCCTCAAGTATTGATAGGTGATGATCTCCATGATTTATTGTCAAGTGCCAAAAGCAAGATACAGGATAATGTGCAGTAGATTTCTGTACACTTATGTTTGTATGAATCTAAAATATCCCCAGAAGACTACTACAGAAATTGCTAATATTGGTTATTTTTGCAGAAAGGATGCTGGATAGCCTAGGAGCAGGGATGGATAGAAAATCTTTTTTGATTGTGTTGTTTTTACACACTTTGAATTTTTAGTCATATGTGCACATTGTCCATAAACAAACAAATGAAATAATAAGATAATAAATGCTTCAGTAGAGATGTACATGGAAAACCCAAGGAGCAAATAATAGTTACCAGCAGAGGGGAGTGGTGTACAAAACAGCATTCTGGGCAGATGAAGTAAGAACATAGGTGTCACATTCAAGGCACTGGGAATGTTGGTGGGACTAACGTCTACAGGAGTGGGCAAAAGGGAGCAGTGCAAAGGGTTGAGCAAGCAGTCTGAATGTTACACCAAGGGCTTCATTCTGTATCATGAGCACACTTTGCAAAACAATGATAGGACTTCAGTATAAAACCTCTAGGTATGAACCATGAGGAGTTTATCAAATAAGATTCTGAAATAGTCATGATTCTAGATGCCAGTTTAACATTGTATGGTCATTTAAATGAAGCAGACTCTCACATTATTTGTTGAATTATCTAGCAGTCATAGATGTTTCTTTGTTTTCTGAGCATGATGGAGACAGAGAAAGTACCACTAATCCGTTAGGGAACTAGTAGTCCTTTTCTTAACCAGTTAAAAAGAGATGGCAAATACAACATTCTTACCTTTGCAACCAGGGAATCAGAATTGCAAACTGCATTGATCTATATTTAAGGACTCCGCAATAATGTTTAATTTTTGGACCTCATGGACCTGTCTCTTACAAATCAAGTGACACTCCCACATTTTTATTAGCTGAGAACAGACAGTAGTTTCAAATACGGGCACAGAATTTCATATTGGACAGGAGAAAGGGAATCTGACAACACATTAGGTCACTTTTTACAGCCAGCTAATTAATAAATTAATAAAATTCTTAATATATCAGC